TGAATTCTCGGACTGTCCCAACATACCCAGGTTTTGACCCCCTCTAAGGATATCACTGATTGGCATATCAAAGACAGCCCAATCCGACACCTAGTGCAGTATCATAATCGAGTCTAGGGGTCAGGTGTAACATTCCAGTTTTGCCCATCAATCTCCAAAGTCCAGGGCAATACTGAAATTCTGGTCCGGTTCAGGGTTTCAAGAAAACCCACACTACATGTACCTCAGGTCTTACCCTAGCAGCTGAGACAAGCCACCCCAACCAACTTTGCGGCACATCAGTGTCAGCCTTGGCAGGATAAATCTCCCCAGATCTAACACTTATCTCATATGTGTCCAGTTTAAGGGTATTACACAAAAACACACCATAATAACATGAATCAAATATGTACTTTATTCATTTACATTAAATGTCATAATGTACATCATTCTGATTGAAGCTAAGGGCATGCACTGTCTAACAGGATCTGGAGAAAGCATACGACCATGTCAATTGGCGCTGCCTAGATTTCATTCTTCAAAAAATGAACTTTAGCCAAAAGTGGAGAAATTGGATGGAGGTATGTGTTTCTTCACCAAAACTTTTGGTTGTAATAAATGGGAAACCCTCAGGTTTCTTTAAAAGCTCAATAGGCATTCGACAAGGTGATCCCTTGTCCCCTCTCCACTTTTTGTGTGTTATGGAAGTCCTCACCCAATTCATCAATAATGCAGGGCAAGTGGGCCTATGGGAACGTTTTGAAATTATTCAAGGAGGGGAGAGGGTAAATGTTCTTCACTTTGTGGATGATACTTTGCGTTTCATTGATGCTTCATTTTCTCAATTAGAAACACCGGTGGGAATCTTCTCTTGGTTTGAAGTGGTTACTGAGCTGATGTTGAATTTGGGAAATGTTCTCTCATTCCAGTGGAGAGGGTTGAAGAGATTGAGCTATGGGCAGAAATCCTTGGATGTAAAGTGAATAACTTTCCCACCACTTATCTTGGTTTGCCTTTAGGTGCAAAACGTTCTTCTGCAACAATTTGGGAGCCGGTGCTGGAAAGACTAGAGAAAAAACTTGCATCTTGAAAGGCAAAATATTTGTCAAAAGGGGGAAGAGTAACTTTGATCAAAAGTACTCTTGCAAATCTGCCGACTTATTATCTTTCCCACTGTCCTATCCCAAGCTCAATAGCAAAAAGAATAGAAAATTTACAAAGAGACATTCTTTGGAAAGGCTGGAATGATGAGAAGAAAGTCCATGAGGTAGCTTGGGAACAAATTTGCTCTCCACAGAATTCGGGAGGTCTGGGTCTAAGAAGAATCAAGACATTTAACACAGCCTTATTGGGAAAATGGATTTGGCAGTTTGGAGTGGAAGATCAATGCTGGTGGATAGGGATGGCAATCTTGACCCCAACCCATTTGACCCACCCACCCAATCTATTGGTGGTCAATATGGGTCGAGTAACCTATTAGGGTTAGCGGAAAAGGGTCAGGGTGGGTTGCGTCGAGGGTACCCATTAGGGTCAGGATGGGTTGGGCCGTGCGGGTCAAGATGTTTTGGGTCAAAGTCAACTCTATCTATACTCACCAAATCTCAAAAAAAAAAGTTGTAGTGATACGAACTCAGGCCTCTTAGCGTGCCCACATCTCATTACACTTCCAAACCACCATGCCACATTTCATTTTGAAATTAAAAGTAAGATAAAATAGATTTTTTTTAACTTTCGTGTTTACATGCAATTTTATGCAAAAGCACTTTTACAAAAGCAATTTTATAAAGTAATTTTATGAAAATGACTTTTACGAAAGCACTTTTACAGAAGTACTTTTACACGAAAGCACTTTTACAAAAGTACTTTTACACAAACATTTTTACGAAAGTACTTTTACAAAAGCACTTTATGAAAGTACTTTTACGAAAGCACTTTTATGAAAGCATAAAAGCACTTTTATAAAAGTACTTTTACACAAAAGCACTTTTGTAGAAGTGCTTTTATGAAAGCATTGTTATGAAAGCATAAAAGCAGTGTTTTAAAAGTGCAATGCGCAAAAAAGGCGCAAGGCACAAGGCGAGGTGCCAAAAAATAAAAAATCAAAAAAAATGCTAAAAAATAAAAAAAAAAATGTCAGAAAATTCAAAAACATGCCAAAAAATACTAAACATAATATTACTAAAAAATATAAAGTTAAATTTTAAAAAACCTATTATTTAAAATTAAAATACATAACATAAGATGTAATGCATATTCAAATGAGAATTTAATAATAAAATCAAACATATAAAACATTTTTAAGCATGTAAAACCACTAATCTCTTTTTTCACTCAATTGCAATACTTCACATAGCTAATGTAATGTAAAACATATTACATTCCTGATTCTATGAGCCGCCTTTGTGCCATGCCCCTCGAGGCAAGCCCAAACAAGTCCACATTAGGTCTTAAATTCTTAGTTTTCACACAAATAATAATAATTTTATAGTTTTAATTGCTTTTTAAGAAGACATTTTATTAGGATGAATGAATGAACTACATTACCAAGTTGGGAGTCGAAGCAATTTGGTAATGTAATTCATTCATTCATCCTAATAAAATGTCTTCTTAAAAAGCAATTAAAACTATAAAATCATTATTTTTTGTGTGAAAACTAAGAATTTAAGACCTAATGTGGACTTGTTTGGGCTTGCCTCGAGAGGTGTGGCACGGGGGTCTGGGGGCGAAGCCCCCGGTCCGGCCATTATGTTCAAAAAAAAGCAAAAAAGCGCCAAATCTTCAAAAGGCACACTCCTAGGCTGAGGCACAAGGCGCATCAGGTGCACGCCTAGGCACATCAGGTGCACGCCTAGGCGCACCAGGCGTGCGCCTTTTGAAAGGGTTGTGCCTAGGACTTAGGCAAGGCGCATACCCTGAAATGTGCCTTGCCTGTGCGCCTAGGCACGCCTTTTAAATCACTGCATAAAAGTACTTTTATGAAAGCACTTTTACAAAAGTACTTTTATAGAAGTACTTTCATAAAAGTACTTTTGCGAAAGCACTTATATAAAAGTTATGCATTTTTTGCATTTTCTGCAACTTTTCTGTTATTTTCTGCATTTTCAGTAACTTTTTTGGTATTTTTCTATAATTTCTAAAATTTTCTGGTATTTTTCTGCATTTTCTAGAATTTTTGGTGCTTTTCTGCATAATTTTTTATTTTTTTGGTGTTTTTCATGCATTTCCTACAATTTTCTGGTTTTTAGCATATTCTGATTTTTTTCTGCAAAAGTTCTGAATTTTCTGTAATTTTTTAGTATTTTTTTGGTATTTTTTGCATTTCTGCAATTTTTCTACTATTTTCTGCATTTATCTACAATTTTTTCATTGTCAGATATACGAGTTGAACTGACTTGTTTTTGTGGCGTGGCAGTCTTAGGAGAGATTATTCTCTCAAAATTTATTATTTTGGGTATACGGGCCATCCCGACCAATTTTTGTATTTATAAGCGAGGGTAGGTGGGTGTAGTATGGGTGAGGGTGGTTAAGGATCAATATGGATGGGTCAAGTGGGTCAATATGGGTGGGTTATGACCCTTTAACAATGTTTGATGATGGGTTGGTGGGTCAATATGGGTGGGTTGTTGCAATGCAGACTTCCCCTATGGGTGCTCTTTATGGAAATGTATCATGAAAATTCTCCTGTCTTTCCTAAAAGGAGTGGGTTTCAAGTTAGGTGATGGGAGTAGAGTTCGGTTTTGGAAGGACAAATGGTTGAACGAGATTCCTTTGGAAGAGATTTTTCCCCTTCTGTTTTCAATGGCTGAAAACAAAGAGGCAACTGTGGCTGATTCCTTCAAGTTAGTCCGAGGTGAAGTGGTGTGGAAGCCCAAGTTCCGAAGGGATTTTCAAGACTGGGAAGTGGCTGAGGTGGTGAACCTGCTAAATAACCTAAACAGTTTCTCTTTTCAACCTCAATCAAGAGACCAATGGACATGGACCTAGACTGTTGATGGAAACTTCTCGGTTAGATCATTTGCTGATGATTTAACTGGTTGTAGGAATGCAGACTTCCCCTCTAGACAAATACGGATCCCATCTGCCCCTTCAAAAGTCAATTTCCTAGTCTGGACCTCTGCGCTAGGAAAATGCTTAACAATAAGCAACCTGGCTACGAGGGGATTCAGCTTAGAGGACTTAGGTTGTGGAAATTGTGGTCAGGTCGAGGAAACTATGGACCATCTCTGCATTCATTGCGATTTGACTTGGAGAATTTGGTCCCACTTCTTCTCTGCTGTGGGGGTATGCTGGGTTATGCCGAACAATGTAAAGGAGATGGTAAAAGGCTGGAACCTTCCGGGGGTATCAAAGAAAGGCAAGCTCATCCGGAGATCTATCCCTGCGGGAGTTATCAGCACTATACGGTCGGAGAGGAATAACAGAATTTTCAGAAAACAGAAGAGCCCGGAGGTGTTGATCCAGGGTATAGTGGCTAGATTAGTATCCTCGCTATCAATCCTTACTGAGTTTTGTAATCAGAATGTATTGCTGATGCTTAAGTCAGTCAGTGTATGTCATCTCTGATCTCTTTATGTGGGGGTGCTGACTTCATGTCTCCTACCGCTTTGTATAACTATTGTCTCCATCAATAAAATTTACTTTACCTTTTTCGAAAAAAAAAAAAAAAAAAAAAGATAACGTGGTTAGCTTCATACATATGTTTTGGCAAAAATAAATTCCCATACCCATAATTTGGTATATTTGAATTTTTTTCGTTTAACTCTTGGCCCAGAAAATAGATTGGATTTTGAAATGGTTATTTTAACTGATCTAAAAAAAGATCTTTGCCACCTCTCCAGCCACAACCAAGAAACATGATCAAGAAGTTTCTCCAATTAATATTTATGGTAATGGCATGAAGTCAACAGTTTTGGATATTTTCCTGACTTTGCAGTGTAATAAAGCTTCTCTGAAAGGAACAACTCTAATTAATTGAACAGAAATCAGACGTCCAAAACTTGCACAAGATGTGAATGCTTTCATCAATTGACTCGATATGTGTTGATGGAAGATGGAATGGATTTTTATCCAAATCATTTAGATACCAAATAAAGATGAGCACTTATTCCACCTCATTAAGCAAAGCAACAAGAATTCCAAATTCAGAGTGAACACATACCTTAGCTATTTTGACCAGTTGGTCATAATTATCATGTCCATAGAAAAATGGCTCTTTACGGAATATCTGCATTGAATAAAAGCATAGGAATTGGAATGAATATTGAAGAAACAGTATGCATAAATCAGCCCAACATAAAAATCAAAACCACCTTAGCCCATCCTCCCACCATTGGTGAACATGGAAGCTTATCAAGATCCACTATCAGTGTCATCAAGGAGATCATCCACCCCATAAATCAGCCAAGGTTGAAAGAATTGAACTAATAAACTTCTTCTAGATAGTCCATACTCTGTCACTTCGAAACCAAAAAGAGAGCAGTACAGAAATATTCCCATGCTGTCCATTGAATACATCTTTCAGCCTGATCTCCACCCTCTATGGACATTGTGGAGGAACCCTTCTTAAAATATTTGCACTACTCAAATCAACATTCTCACTTCTGCTTTGTCCACACCTACTCAATAGGTGCTTCCCTCTAAGGCAGAATGCTCCCCTACCAAAGCATTTTTACATCCCACAGCTTCAGAGATCCCTCAACCCCATTCATCCTCAGTGCAAGAGCTCTTGATCAGTAGGTTATTATGGACTCTTTCAAGGGTGGCTGCTTCTAGGCAAACCTCCAAATAACCAGTGTCACTATAGAGATCCTCCACCCAAAGATCAGCCAAGGTTGAAAGAATTGAATAAATAAGCTTTTTGGATAGTCCACTAAAGAGAATTCATGCGTAGGATGGTAAAGAACATTCCACCAGGCTGATTTTATGGCTATGGTGACAAAAGATAAAGATGACCTAGAGATTTGGAGAGCCTATAGAAATTTGACAGGTGGGAACTGGAGAAATTGAAATTTTTATAATGATACCACATCATGATGTACAACTTCCACCAAGGACGAGTATGAAGAAGGCTCACCATTCCAGCAAACATACAACCAAGGCTCCACAAGTCCAAAGAGTAATCATAGTCTTGTAAATCAACAAGAAGCTCTGGGCCTTTAAAATACCTGTAACAGAGATGGAAAGGCATGATAGAGAGATGAGTGCATGCAAGGCCACCAAAGCTAAGTCAATCAACACCACTGAAAGGATATAAGATAATACTCTTGACTATTAAATTAGTTTCATGTGAATGACCATTATCTCAGATTAGTAATGGAAACTAGAAAACCAGGCCTGAAAATTTTTGTACATGTATAGGTTAAACCAGCCACTTGAATCAAGTAGAGCAATTGGAGAATATAAACTTGAATGCTCTCGATTAGAATGGCATCAATGCTTCAATATTAAACTAAATACATGCCACTAACAAAACATTAATAAAGTGACTTTAGAACATATGCCTATGTTGAAGGTGCTAGCTGGCTCAGTTTGTAAAGTCGGTGGATGTGGTTCCCACCTACCTGGAACAAGATCTGGACTCAACCCCCCCCCCCCCAACCACCACCAAGTTTCCCTACTCCCTAGCAAATAAAAGGAAGAGCATATGCCTGTGTTGAGGGAACATATCAGTCTAGAAGATGCTTCAGAAGAGATTATTCTTGGGTCCCTTTTTTCTGTAAGCTACAGTAAATTATTAAAGTGATGATGAAGCAAACTTCACACCTTCAAAAGACATTTGAAGGAGGGGGACAACACAACCAGCCTCAAGGCTGGCATACAATTCGCTTAAAGATCATGCATTTCACTTCCAAAGCAATCCCTAGGGGTGTCAATGGACCAGGTTTGGGTTGGACCCGTCCGAATCAAAATCAATTTAAACGGGATGGGCAAACCAATAAGACATATTGAATTGGACAAGTCCGGACTTAATGGTCCAAAGTCTTTATTGGATTGGATTGGAGTGATCCATCAGTAACGAATTATATTGGACTGAGTCAGACTGAACCAATATCAGTCAAATTACAAAAGAAATGGGTACGGGTGTCAATGGACCCGGTTTGGGTTGGACCCAATCTAATTAAAACAATTTGAACAGATTGGATGGTCCAGACATTGAAGTGGACCATTCCAGAATGGTCCAAAGTATTCATAGGATTGGATTAGACCTGGTCCAGTGTTTTAAAACGTGGAGGCGTGAGGCGTGAGGCGTAAGCCTCCCGAACACAAGGAGGCGTAAGCCTCCTTAAGAGGATGGGGGTTATGAGGAGGATGAAAAGGAAGGGGGGATCTCATTTTTTCTTATTTTTAATAAAAATCTTTTATATTAAGAAGTCACCGATATGAGGAGGATAAAAAAAACTGATGTTATTCATGGACCTATAAAACGAAATTAAATTCTACTATATGTGTACAATACTAGAAAAGTCTTCTCAAACATGTTCTGGTTCCTCTCTTTCCCTGACTATCAATGCTGAAACTATTCACAAGGGTTGTACTTCGAGGGTAGTGGCACTTGGGTCCCTAAACATTCATTTGCAACAAAGAGCTTATTAGACAGTGTAAGCCCTTAGCTGATGTAACTTATGACATCTAATGTAAACGAATAAAGTACATATTTGATTCATGTTATTATGGTGTGTTTTTGTGTAATACCCTTAAACTGGACACTTATGAGGCTCGTGTTAGTTTAAAATCTTCACAGTCGTTGGATAGATCTGGGGAGATTTATCCTGCCAAGGCTGACACTGATATGCAGCCAAGTTGGTTGGGGTGGCTTATCTTAGCTGCCAGGGTGAGACTTGAGGTACATGCAGTGTGGGTTTTCTTGAAACCCTGAACCGGACCAGAATTCCAGTATTGCCCTGGACCTTGGAGATTGATGGGCAAAACTAGAATGTTACACCTGACCCCTAGACTCGATTATGATACTGCACTAGGTGTCAGATTAGGCTGTCTTTGATATGCCAATCAGTGAGATCCTTAGAGGGGGTCAAAACCTGGGTATGTTGGGACAGT